TCTCTCTCTCTCTCTCTCTCTCTCTCTCTCTCTCTCTCTCTCTCTCACACACACACACACACACACACACACACACACACACACACACACAGCACGACTGGTAAAACGACAGTGCCTTCCTCCTGAATAGAAAGTACATCCATTATCTGTGTACCTAGACTGACATCTGCTCCAAAAAGGTACAGCCATAGTGGCCGTGAGTTTTCTTCAACACATTTTTTTTGGAGGCAACGGCCAGGGGGGCAGACCGCAAAGATGACCTGGGCCAATAAATAAGGCTTGGGAAACGTTGACAAGTACCGGGACATTTTGCAAAGATGGACAGTACCCAGTAGCGGTATTCTGCAAAGATGGCGGATCCCACCGACGCCAGGGGCATTTTGCAAAACATTTTTTTTTGTGTCAGAGCGGTATTCCGCTCTACCCACATCTTCTAGGGACATTTTGGCATATATCTCAACTTATAGGGGTATTTTGCAAATTATCCCTATTTTTATCATATCTATGATGAACAATAGTGACTTGTTGAGTGATATATAATTCCGGGGTAGAGTGCCACCTCGACATGGTGGAAGCCAATCAGTTCAGTTCTGATTATCCCTCGATTTATGATAACAAAGTCAAATTTCAAACAAACTAATGTATTGAAGACTGTTTAAGTTTGAATTTGGAAACATGGAAAAATAAAATAAAAGTTATATAAAACAGAGAGATGTACGAGACTGGAAATGAAATTTAATAAATGTAATTAAGTAATCAAGAACAAATTTCAACAAAAGTATATCCAATCTGTGTACAAATTTTGCTATACGATGCATATTCATTTTCTTTTATAGAAAAAATGATGTGACCCTGAGTCAAAAGTTTACCAGTTCATTTTTCTGCATAACATAATTTGTTTCCCAGCTTCTTTGGATTTTTTTCTTTTTTCTTTTTTCTTTTTTTTTCTCGGACCTTCTTTGGGTTCTTGCACAGCCAGGCCGCCCCAGGCACACAAGGTAACCCGGACGGCCTGGCTGGTAGCCCTTTTTTTTTTTTTTTTTTTTTTTTTTTTTTTTTTTTTTTTTTTTTTTTTTTTTTTTTTTTTTTAGATTAATCGTTGCTTGATTATACAATGTTATTTGTGTCCCTACTGAGCAAGGCCACTTGGAGGTGGATAGAATAATTATAATACTTGCAGCCAATCCGCTTTACAAAAAAAAAGAGCAAGAACTAAGAAGACACTTTGCATCAATAAAAGTTTATTATAAAACAAAACAAAACAAAACAAAACGCCTTTGCCAATCACAACCAACCCCCGGCGAATAATCAGCCCTACCTTTTCCTCACGAGTCATGACTCAACCCCTTCCTCATGAGTCCAAACCTTCCCCTGGATCAAAACCAACCCCCAGGGAATAATCAGCCCCACCTTTTATTTTTTTATTTTTTTTGTTTTTTTATTTTTTTATTTTTCTATTTTTTTTTATTTTTTAATTTGTTTTTTTTCTAAGAACCACCTTCTTGATGATGCCCATTGTGAGCTGAGGAGAGGGAGTTCAAAAAGGGTTGAGAGAAAAAAAAAAAAAAAAAAAAAGGTTGACAAGGAAGTTGAAAACAGGAGAACAGG